ATATATATATATGCCCCTTTATCCCCCAAAAATGAAATACACATTTTTTTCAAATGCACATAGAACATTGTCAAAGATAGACCATGTGATAGGATACAAACAGGTCTCAACAAATTCAAGAAAATTAAAACCATAACAAGCATTTTCTTGGACCACAAGGGCTTGAAACTAGAAACCAACCTCAAGGAAAAAACTCAGAAACATTCAAACTCACAGAGACTGAATAGCATGCTATTAAACAATGAATGGGTCGATAAGGAGATCAAAGAAGAAATCAAAAAGTTTTTGGAAACAAGTGAAAATGAACACACAACAGTATAAAACCTATGGGACACAGTGAGGGCAGTCCTGAGAGGGAAGGTCATAGCAATACAGGCCAACCTAAAAAAGATAGAAACACTTCAAATAAATGACCTAACCCTCCAAGAACTGGAGAAACAACAACAAACAAAGCCCAAAGAGAGTAGAAGGAAGGAAATTATCAAGATCAGAGCAGAACTGAATGATGTAGAGACTAAAAGAACAATTCCAAGGATCAATAAATCCAGGAGCTGGTTCTTTGAACAGATAAACAAAATCGACAAGCCCTTAAGCAGGCGCATCAAGAAAAAAAGTCAGAGGACCCAAATAAATAAAATTGGAAATGAAAGCAGAGAGATTAAAACTAATACTACAACAATACAAAGGATTGTAAGAGATTACTGTAAATATCATATGCCAAGAAATTTGATCTTTGATGAAATGGACAAATTTCCAGAAAAATATACGCTTCTATATTTGGAATGAAGAAGAAGCAGAAAGCCTGAGCAGACCAATAACAGCTGTTGAAATTGAAGCCATAATCAAAAACCTCTCAGAACACAAAAGCCCTGGACCAGATGGTTTCACAGGAGAATTTTTACATTTAAGGAAGAGCTAACCACTGGTCTTATCAGACTATTCCAAAAAATTGAAGAAGAGGGAAGACTCCCCGACTCTTTTTATGAAGCCAGCATCATTCTAATCCCAAAATCAGATAAGATACAACGAGGTTAGAAAACTCCAGGCCAATAACACTGATGAACATAGATGCTAAAATCCTCAACAAAATATTGGCAAACCACATCCAGCAATACTTTAAAAAGATCATCCACCATGATCAAGTAGGATTCATCCCAGGGATGCAAGGATGGTTCAATATTCACAAGTCAATAAATGTAATACATCACAGAAACAAAAGTAAGGACAAAACCCACATGATCATATCAATAGATGTGGAAAAAGCATTTCATAAGGTACAACACCCATTTATAAAAACACTCAGCAAAATGGGAATAAAGGGGGCATACCTCAACATAATAAAGGCCATATATGAAAACCAACAGCTAGCATCATACTCAATGGGCAAAAGCTAAAAGCTTTCACACTAAGATTGGGACCAAGACAATGATGTCTGCTTTCACCCCTTCTGTTCAACATAGTATTGGAAGTCCTATCCACAGCAATCAGACAAGAAAAAGAAATAAAAGGCATCCAAATTGGACAGGAAGAAATAAAACTGTCGTTTGCAGATGACATTATACTGTACATAGAAAACCCTATAGACTCCACCAAAAAACTACTCAGCCTAATAAGTGAATTTGGCAAACCAGCAGGATACAAAGTATTTCTGATACAAATATTCAGAAATTGAAGGCATTTTTGTACACCAACAATAAAATATCAGAATCAGAAATCAGATGGAAAAATCCTATGTGCTATAGCAACAAGAAAAATAAAGTACCTAAGAATAACCTTAACCAAGGAGGTAAAAGCCCTGTTCAGAAAACTACACAACACTGAAGAAAGAAATTAAAGAAGACACAAATAAATGGAAGCATATACCATGTTGATGCATTGGAAGAATGAACATCATCAAAATGTCCATACTACCCAAAGTAATTTTTAGCTTTAATGCAATCACTAAAAAATTACCAATGACATAGTTCACAGATATAGAACAAACATTTAAAAACTTTATATGGAACCATAAATGACCCAGCATAGCTGCAGCAATTTTGAGAAAGAAGAACAAAGTAGGAGGGATCACAATACCTGTTATCAAACTATATTACAAGTCCCCTGTAATCAAAAGAGTCTGGTACTGGCATAAGAACAGACACATTGATCAATGGAACAGAATAGAGAGCCCAGAAATAAACCTGTGTCTCTATGGTCTATTAATATTCAACAAAGGGGGCAGAAGCATAAAATGGAGTAAAAATAGCCTCTTCAACAAATGGTGTTGAGAGAGCTGGACAGCTGCATGCAAGAAAATGAAATTCAACCATCAACTTCTACCATACACAAGGATAAATTCAAGATGGATAAAAGACTTAAGGATAAGTTATGGCACCATAACAGTCCTAGAGGAGACATAGGCAGGAAACTAGTTCTCAGATATTCCACACAGCAGCATTTTCACTGATATGTCCCGTAGAGCAAGGGACATAAAGGAAAGAATAAACAAATGAGACTTCATCAAAATAAGAAGCTTGTGCACGGCTAAAGGAAACATCAGTAAAATGAAAAGGGAACCAACCATATTGGAAAATATATTTGCCAATGATACCTCCGACAAGGGTTTGATCCCCAAAATATATAAAGAACTCAGATGATTCTACTCCAAGAAGACAAACAATTCAATTAAAAGAATGAGCAAAGGACCTGAACAGACACCTCTCCAAGGAGGACATACACAGGACACAGAGACATATGAAAGGATGCTCAGGATCACTAGCCATTAGAGAAATGCAAATTAAAACCACAATGAGAGACCATTTCACACTGGTCAGAATGGCTATCATAAACAAATCAACAAACAACAAGTGTCTTTGAGGTTTTGGAGAAAAGGGAACTGTAGTTCACTGTCGTTGGGAATGCAGGGTGGTACAGCCACTCTGGAAAACAGTTTGGCATTTCCTCAAAAAGCTAAAATTACAACTGCCTTTTGATGCTGCGATTCCACTGCTGGGATTATAACCTAAGAATCCCAAATCAGTAATGTAAAGAACCAATGAACCCCAATGTTCATAGCAGTGTAGTTTACAATAGCCAAGTACTGGACATAACCTAAGTGCTCACCAATAAATGAGTGGATCAAGAAACTATGGCACGTATACACAATGGAATACTACACAGCAGAAACAAAGAAGGAACTCCTACCCTTCACGACAGCATGGACAAAACTGGAGAGCATTATGCTAAGCGAAATAAGCCAGGGAGTAAGAGACAAATACCATAGGATCTCACCTATAAGTGGAACCTAAGCAACAAAACAAACAAGCGAAGAAAAATATAACCAGCAACATTGAAATAAAGAACAAACTGACAGTAACCTGAGAAGAGGGTGGAGGGGGACAATAGGGAGAAAGAAGGGAAAGGATCATCAAGGACCCATATAACCTAGGAGTAAACCTAACCAAGGAGGTAACCTCTCTCTAGGTTATCAATGGCTGGCTCTAAAAACCTTCAGGCCTCACGTGAAATAAAGAGAAATTGAAGCAATTTTGTACCACTCAAATTTTACCAGATAATTTAGGCAAGAGTGCAAAACATCATGGCTTAAAATGATCTAATAGTTGATCAGTTCACCATGTTTCCTGTAAAAACAAAAATTTTAAACTAGTGAATTTTAGTTGCCATTAGTACAATTCAGTTAAGCTAGTTTAAGATACTAAAAAAGGTGGTATATTCCAGAGTTCACATTTCAGTCATTTCTCATGAGCCAAGACTTTATAGTTTTCAAAATAGAAAGGTCATGGTTTTTCTGGAAACAGGACAGGGTTGCAAAACAGCTTTTTAATGAACAAAATTAAAAGAATCAAAAGCTTAGGGATTAAAAGAAGGAAAAAAGAGAGGAAAGCTTAGGGATTAAATTTTCCCTGATACCATGTGGGTATACAAAAACATTACACAATAAGAGTTTCCTGAGTTTATCCAGATTCTGAACATGTGTTAAGATTTAAGCAACACTAAATTAAATTAGTAGTATGGCATATCCCTCCCTCTTTTAATGGCTTCCAACTAGAAAATCATAGGGTGATTAAATGCTGTTTCCATTAAAAATCTTCTTTTACTTAGAAATAAGAATTCAGACAGCCCATTAAAATACAAACTCTTTTACAGAAAAATCAGATTGTCCACTCTACAAAACAGTTAAATTACAAAGTAGTTAATCCAGTTTCACAGACTTTTTCTTTCAAAAAGAGTTCCTTTCTGGTTCCTTTAGTTTAAACAGTAAATGATCTGAATGCATGCAAAATATTCAGACTTATCTTTTCCCAGGAATACAGCAATTGTGTGATGAATAAAACTCTTTTTTGGTGTATTTATATGGCAGTGTCTCAGGCCATTCAAGCCTGATCCTAGTCATAGAGTTGAGAGGAGTGATCTGTGTTTTACAGGAATACAGGAGGAGCACGAACTACAGTGATGGAGGAATGAAAGGAACTCAGTTCTTCTGGGCCAGTGGCTGTGGAAAGGGCTGTGCTGAGCATCACCACCTCATTGGTTCTCAGTCACAGTGTACCAGGCACCCTTGTGTCAGCATGATGAAACCTCATGGGAAAGCAGGATGGATGTCTGTAGTTGGCAGAAGTCTCCAAGATGCTGCTACTCATTCAGCCTTCATCAGTATGATATGTGTGCATGTCTCTTACACATACATGCACCCTTTGCATCAGTGATGTCTGAGTGCTGTTGGTCAGAGCCCCTGGAGCTCACCCCAGCTGAATTATAGCCGATGAATGCTTTGGTGGCAAATATCTTGTTATTCTCCACAGATTACCTATGTCTATAAGGTTGACAGGTTTCCAGGTACTTTTCTGTTTTTGTCTGTTTTGCTGTCATTTCTACATTGAACCATTGTTTTTATTCTGGCACGACATAAAAATCAGGGACCTGACAGGCTGATGCACATATAGTTTTAAAAACATAACACTATTACCTGTTTTATTTATTGTTTGCTTCCACCTTTTCCACATATTTGATTATCCTTAGAAACATCATGAAATTAAAAATATATATGTTTAATGATGAAAATACATATGCATGCATATATAACAAGGGACAGAAACTGCCTCCAGAGGAAATTGTACAAATCTGTTAATTTATTACAAAATGTCCACTTACAGAAAAACACAAGAAAACTTTTATACTTTTATATTTGGAAAAGGAACTGTGTCTGAGATACAAAATAATTTGCACATAATCCATACAATTTTATTTTATATAGAAATAGGTCATTGTTACAACAGCTGTACAATTGACTACACTCCATCTTGTAATTACATAAAATCCTTTCTTTAGAAACCTCTCAATATAAGAAAACATATTTTAAAAAAAAGCAAAGTGTATTTTGAAAAATAAATCCAGTTCTGGGTCTTATTGTGGAAGATGTGTAGCAAGGGACAGCGTTCTGGCTCGCAGGCTCGGCATAGGTGGGGGTCCATGGGGCTGGGCACCTCACAGGCCTCTCTGGCTTGTGAAACCGCTCCCTTCATATCTCTTCAGTTCTCAAGGTTCTGGATTGTCAGTTGCATGACTGTGCTTTGCTCTGAGCTGTCCAGTAGTTGCAATCAACAAAGTTAACAGGAAACAGTCCAGTGTTATAAAAGTAATCACCAGCAGAGTGTGGGGCTCAGGCCAGAGGGTGTGGGCTGCTACCTGGTGAGTGATGACCAGCTTTGTTCTCTGATTCATTGGCTATTTTGCTACTGTGGTCTCCTAATGAAGTCATAAGACTTTATTATTTTTTAAAATCAAAAGTGCCTAAGTTACCTTATCTGTGCTGCTCTGCAGATTAAAACAAAAACCACCATTTAAAAATAATGAAAAAATAATCTCTTTATTCTCCCTTCAAAATATTTCTAAACTGGTGCTTCTGGAATGCAAAGAAAACAGGATTAAGAGAATGAAGTCCAGCTAGCACATGTGGATGGCCCACTGCTGGCTAAAGTGACCAGTGTGCTGTCACGAAGGTACAGTGAAACCAGCCATCTGATAAGGTAGACTGAGTCATGACATCCAAGTATGGCTGTGGAGTGTGCCCAAGGAGCGCAGAAACAAGGGAAACCCAACCTGGATCCCTGATCATTCCCATGTGACATCCGCCATTCTCAAGGGATGGTTACTATCCAGAAGATCTGAAATGTACGCCGTGTGCACAAAGGCCAACGGTTTAGCTCAAATTCTTCTCCCCACTTAATCTTCCATTGGTTAAAGCTGATTGGGACCTGACTGAGGTGCCAGGGTACTACTGGGGCAGCTGCTGGAGGACTGAGGACTCAGACAGGCTGCTGACCCTTTGGGAAGGTTGAGGGGTCTGGCTGGGACTGTGGGGCAAAGCCCAGGGTCCCTGGCTGGGGTGAGTAGGTGGAGAGAAGTGGAGATTCCTGCTGCTCCATGTGCAAAGAGGTTGGCACCTGTACCTAGAAAGGAAAGGAAAAGGATTCCAGAGGTTCTTCTGTGATTCCACAACTCCTCAGCTGAAATGCAGATATAGACAGACCACAGGAGTCTCCTCTATGGCTGGGGGTCTTGTAGTGAGGGCTTGGGCAGGACCTTGGAGGGACAGTGCATGAGGGAGAAAGGAACCCCATTCTCTACCAGACAGGCTTGAATTGTGAAGGCAAGCTTCAGGCCAGCACGAGGGTTCCTTCTGACCTGGTGTGCCTGTAGGGACTGAGCATGTGCACATGGCTCACATGTAGTATGTATGTTTCTGGATGTTGGAAGCTGATCCACATACAGATAATTGGCATGGCAGAATCCAAACACACATGCAATCTGCACACTTTCACTAGTGGTCCCTGATACCATAACTCCTTCCAAATACTGTTGTTTGTAGCATCTATTAGGAAACATCCTCATTTGCACTCAGGAACTACAGCTGTCCAAAGCCCAACTCTGGACACTTAGACCTTTCAATCTCACCTCCCACTCTTCCTGTCCACTCCATTTTTGAAGTTGCTTAGGCACAGCTGACCCTCCAATTTGGATAAGACTGTCTCTCTTGCTAGAACATTGGCCCTTCACTTCCATAAGTTAATCTGCACTTCAAGCATTTCCCAAGTGTCCAGCTCTGCAGCAGAACACTGAATTCTTTTCTCACAGAGGCGTCCCAGCCATAGTGCTCTCACTCAGCAATAACCCAGAGCCTGGCCGCTCTGTAACAAACTCTTCCCACACTGCACTGTAAGCCCTGAGGTCTCCAAGGAGGCCTGAGCACTTGTGCAGCCTGAGCCTTGCATCTTTGTTGCTACCACTGAAGAAAAACACGGGAGGCTTCTTACACTCCCTCAGGTTCTGCCTGCATCAATTCCCATCCAAAATCATGCTTGGGATCCTACAAGTTGACAAGATAGGCAAAGCTGAGTCTTGAGTTGATTCCCACTATGCCTGGGGTCAGAGAGATTTGAAAAGTATACCACAGATGGTTTAGTAGCTTTAAAGTTAAATTATATAGATTCTAGACCTTCCAGGATGATTCTTTTCATTTCTAGCCTACTGCTCTCAAAATGCCTGCCACTGCACAATCTTGTATGACTCTGAAGGTGCCAGTAGGGCAGGGGGGTCGGGGGAAAGCCAGTGTCTTTGGCACTTGCTAGAAGTAACTAGTGACCACATGGTCTGGGAAAGCCCAACTTCAGACAACATTATCGCATTTATTAAGGAATTCTGATGAGTCTTTAAATGTGATTTAATTTTATATTTGTAAAAGGCTTTGGTATAACACACCAGCAAGTGAAACAAACATACTTATCAGAGCCTTATTCTCGCTTTAAAAATACAGATACTATAATAAAAATTACTTTTTAAAAAATGGACATTTTTAGCATATAACCATGTGAAGTATAATAGCTGATACTAAATTTCCCATACGGTGTATATTTATAACCTTTGAGAATTATGAACATTAGAAACTATAAAGATTGCAATACAAATCTCTTAGGGGTTTATTTTAGTCCCAAGGGCTAGATCACCTCTAAAGCAAGGTGGGGAAAGGAGTGGGCTTGGAGCTGGGCCCTGTTTCCCTGGCCCTGAGATCTCCCAGCGCCCACCTGCAGGAAGTGCTGTTGAGGCTGCTGCTGGGTCTGTGTGGGCTGCAGGGGTGCTGGCTGGGAGCTGGGGAAGCTGTGATGCAGGACTGCCTGTCCCATCAGCAGGATGGGGGTTGTGGTGCTGCTGCTGGTGCTGTGCACGTCTGCATTTGGAAACATGGCCTGGCTCTGTGGATACCTGTTTAATTTCACATGGGAAAGAAAAAGCAGACTTTTAAAAAAGAGGTGCTGATAGGACACCAAGAGCATTGGCAACAGTGGAAAAGAAGATAAACTGGATCTCATCAAAATGAAAAACGTTTGTGCATCAAAGGACACTGTCCATGGCATGTAAAGGCCAGCCAGTAGAAATATTTGCAAATCACTTATCTATAAAGAGAGTGATATCCAGAATATGAAAAAAAAAACCTTCTATAACTTAACAATAACAAACCTGATTAAAGTATATACAAAAGTCTTGAATGGACAGTTCTCTGAAGAAAAGACACAGATGGTCAATAAGCACATGAACAAAGGCTCAATGCCACTAATCATTAGGGAAATGCAAATCAAAATCAAAATGAGATATAACTCAGATCCATTATGATGGTTATTATGGAAAAAACCCCAGAAAATAACAGGTGTTGATGAATATGTAGAGAAATTGGAACCTGTGTGTCCTGTTGGTGGGAACTTAAAATGGTGCAGCCACCATGGAAAACAGCATAGTGATTCTTTAAAAAGTGAAACATAAAATTGCCATAAGATCCAGCTATTCCACTTCTGGGTATATGCCCAAAAGAAATAAAAGTATGGACCAAAACAGATATTTGTATATCCATGTCCACAGCAGCATCATTCACAATAGCCAACAACACAAGTGTCCACTGATAGATGAATGGATAAATAAAATGTGGTCTATACATAAAACAGACTATTACTCATCCTTAAAAAGGCAGGAAATTCTAACACAGGCTACAGCATGGATAAGCCCTGAGGTCATTATGCTGATTGAAATAAGCCAATCACTGTAGGACAAATATTTTAAGATTCCACATATATGAGGTGCTTGAAGTAGTCAAATTCCTAGAGACAAAAGGTAGGATGATGGTTGCCAGGGGCTGGGAGGATGGAGAGCTGGTGTTTAATCGGTGCAGAGTTTTAGTTTGGGAAGATGAAAAATTTGGGGAGATGGATGGTGGTGATGATTGAACCATATGAATTTACTTAATGCCACAGAACTGTACACTTAAAAATGGTTAAAATGGTAAATATTATGTTATGTATATTGTACCACAATAAAAAAATAAAGGGATAGGTGTAGATATTAATGAGTCATTAACAGTGGGTAGAGGAAGGCCATTAGGAAGGCTCTGGAGGAGCAGAAATGAGGAATAGGTGCTTAAAGACACTAGAGAGAAGTACATTTGGCAGTATAGTTTTTAGAAATGTCATTTCTCTATTTGGGATCATTTAAACAGGATTTGGGGGTTCCAAACTTCCCCTGAAAAGGCCTCTGTATGTGTGGGAGGCACAGCCAAACACATCCTAGAGGATGGAATGTTAGATCAGGCCTGGAAGAGATGGTAGGAGGAGATGGAGAGGGTATTAATTATTGCACTGACTGAAAATGGCACAGTTACCAGATGAAAGAATTTCCATTTTTGCCTAGTTCACTGCATTGTAAGCATCTCTGAAAAGCAATATAACAAGATTTTTTGTTCTCACTCATTTGGATCTTAGGAAGAACAGGCAAAATCCAGAACCAACCCCACGACCTCCACATGATTGAGAGCATCATAAAAGAATTAAAAGCAGCTTCTGCACTGTGCACTCCCTCCACCCCCCACTGGGTTTATATAGGACAAAATGAAATGATGTAGATACAGGCTGCTGACCCTCAGAAATGCTCAGCAACCATCTGCTGCTACTAGTGTTAGTGGCTGAGGAAGGACACAGGAGAAAGGGTTTCTGGGGATGGTCAAAGGGTATGCTTTTAAGACCTCTGTGTGAGGGCACACCAGGCCTAATTATCTAGCACTGTCCTGGTGAACTTCTATCACAAATTAAATCAGTGTTTTATAAAAAAGACATGAAGTAGTTCCATTTATGCTTCACTTCATGGGGCCACTGTTTTCCAGTAGCTGTTCAAATACTCTCTCCTATGTCTCCAGTAACCTTTGTCTCTAGAATTAAACAGCTAAGCAAAGCTGCTTCTGCTCCTGGGGTTGCTCCTGGGGAAAGGAGAGAGAGGCGGTTGTGTGTCTGGGAGGGACAGAGGGTCCGCACTGCAGGGTCTCACAGTCTTGCAGCATAGTTCTAGAATCACAGAGCAGGCTAAGTGTGCTGTGGAATCTGCCAGCATGTGCTGGTCACCTGCAGCCAAGGGCTACATTTACCTGGGATACTGCTGAGGGTGAAGGCGTTTAGACCAGCAAAGACATCAGAGGGTAATGAAAAATTAGGGATATAATTAATTATTTCATTTGAGTCCTTTTCTAAGCATGGAACACTGGCATAAAGTTTTATCTACTCAAATGGGAAATGGTGGAAGAAAAGCTGAGGGAAGAGTCCTTCAAAGGGTGTGGGACTCACGGGGGAGCTGTAGGCAGGTGAGAGCCTGACAGCCTGGGACCACCCAGTGCAGCTCTCGGCCTCCTCCCTCCACTTGACCACCTACTTGATGTGCTGTCCAGTCCTGCCAGTCTCGGAGGCCTGCCTTTTATCACAGGACCCAGGCATCATGGGCTGGATTGGCTGGCTCAGCAACAGCCTTCAAGCAGAGGAAGAGACAAATGGGAATTTGATCAGTACCCAAACTGTAGACCTGCTGGATGACAATCACAGCACCCACCCAGGCTGGCTGGAACCTTTCTGTCTGCAGGAATCCCTTTGCCTGCTGTTCTCAGAGGATGAGGAACACAGCAGACCATGTCTTTTGGCCATCAAGACCTACCTTCTCTTGCCTCTGTATTAGCAGAGATCAACTACAGAAGCCTGGGAATCTAAACTTTGCTGCAATGAATAGTCTCAAGTTCAGCCTCAGTTATCTTATAAACAAGGGCAGTCTCCCTACCTGAGCTGCCTATCATGGCTGAAGTCTGGGCTGGGTTGGCACTGCTTGGTGTCCTGGATGTTGGAGGCCAGTGTGGTCAGGCTCAGAGCTGGTGAGAGCACAGCTGAGGGGCTGCTGAACCAGGGTGTTAGACTGCCCACCGGGTGGCAACCTGCCGGTATCATCTGCATGCTTCTCGTTGACTTGTGACCCTGAGCCTAATATTAATGAGAAAGGCAAATCTTAGACTTAGCTCAGCTACCATCTCCCCAGGAACCCTCCCAGAATCTCCTTCCTCCACACTCCTTGGCCTTTTTGTCTACCTTAGGACCTACTGACTATTTATTAAATTATTTTGATCTTGTGATGGTCTTCCCCATTCAATTATAAACACCTCAATGACTCTTTGCATCCTGGGGCCTAGGGCAGTGCCAGGCTCTCAGTAGACAAGCCACAGATGTGTGCTGAACAACTTTCTGCTTCACAAATTCCCCTCCAGATGTGAGATCTGTGGCCTCTTCCTGCCCCAGGTCCTTTGCACTTGCTGATTCCTGTATGTGCAATGCTCTTTCCTTGATGCCAATATGACCATTCCCTCATCCTGCAGGTCTTTGCTTCAGTGCCATCTTCTCAGTGAGCCTGTCTCTGGCCACCTGGTTAAAACTCCAACCCATCCGCTCCTTCACCAGTGTTTCTGCATTGCCATTGACTTGATTTTTACTTATTTCTCTCTTTTTTCCCACTTGTTGGGGACCGCTTTGTGTGGTATCGGGAATAGCCATGTTATTTGTAGCCCTGCGTGAGCCAGGCCTAGAAAGGGGCCTGTAAGTCTCATCCAGAAAACTGGGAATGCTAGAGGTAGGCTTGATCTGATGCTAACACTGTGGGAAATCTGGCCTAAAGAATGCATTGTATCCACTGAAGCTTGCTCTGCTTTGCCTTGCCTTCATAAGGGAAAACCAGATGTTTAAGCTCCAAACAGAAGGCGTGAATTCCTAAATTCAGGAGCCATACCTTAACAACCCTCTGAATGTCAGCATGTCTAACAGACCCTGACCTGAGGCAAATCCCTGTGTTCCTTCAATTGCTATATAAGATCTATCTATCTTATCTATCTGGAATTAGAGCCTTTAGGCATTGATTGATAATATTTGCATGCATGCTGTATATCCCTGCACATATTGTTCTTAATAAAAGCCACTTCAGAGAAGATCTCAGGGCATTCTGCACTATAGAGAATCGCCATCCCCTTTCCTTTCCTTGACAGATAATTGGTGTCTGGAACGACTCGTTATTTCATCTGTGGCGAACTGGAAGACTCTGCAGGACAGGGTCCACTACATTTGGCGCCTGAACAGGGACCCTCACTTTGGGACCTGTGGCAGCCAAGAGGTTATGAGCCCATGTCAGAGACGGCACACCTAGAACAGTGGGATTTTTGTGTGCACTCATCCCAAAGGTAAGGGACAGTGGCACCATTGGTTTGGTAAGGCCACCAGTGTGTCTAAGAAGGGGAATTTTCCTCAGGGCTGTCTTTTGTGCCCATTTTCCTTTTGGTTTCCCTCTCCTCCCTCTGCTCCTATGTATTGTCAGGTAGTTTCCATTCATTAAGAGATTAATAGCCAGGATTTACATGAGTGCTCCGGTTTTGGCTGGATTCAGAAGATAAGAGGCACTTTCTCTCTCCATCTGGAATCCTCGAGCATCCCTACATGAGTGGGGGCCTTGTGGAGGTGTCTGAGGTGAATCCCTAAGACACACAGGGGCCTCACAGGGAATTCCAATCGTGATAATATACTTTTGGCTAATCCGGGAATGTGTGATATAACGATTGGTCACCCAGCACTCCAAGCCCTTCCAGCCGTTTTAGATGACTGGGAGAGAAACTGAGGCGCATAAGAGAGTTAGGGGTGACCAAAGGGTGACATCCCTGGGAGCCCGCCTCACAAGCAGCACACTTTGACCCACCACATTCACTTCCCTAGCAGTTAACCAGGAGAGGCTTACATAAGTAGCTAGGCAGAGTGAGGACAGCAGACAATACAAACTGAAAGTAAAAAAAAAACAACATTTCAGCCATAAAAATGGGCTTGGGACTTTCTAAAGAGCAGGGGGTATATTTCTGACTGCTCCAGTAGCTCTTTAAAGCCGTGGAATGTCAGGTTAAAGAATAAAATTTGATTAACTTCCTACAGATTATAAAAGACTATTGTCTGTGGTTCCCCAACAAGGGATTACTAGATATAGAAGAATGGAAAAAAGTAGGAGACAAATTAAAGTGGCTTCAAGAGAATGGGACTAATATTGGCCATCAAGCCCTTCTTACTTGGAGCTCAGTAAGAACTGCATTAGCTCCTTTACATATTAAGGCAACCCAGTAAGACACAACAGGAGACTTGTCCAACCCCAGTGAGGGCCTGGAGAAACGGCCCCTTGATATTCCTAAGAAGGATGAGGAAGATGAAGGGAAAGCACCATCTCCCAAATGTCCTCCCCCAACTCACCCATCGGCCCTGCTTTGGGACCCATATATATTACAGATTCTTTTTGGTTCACTGCTGTCCCTTGGTACCTAGAACTAGTGCCTGGCATGCAGTGAGTGCTCAATAAAGATTTGTTGAGTGAAATAATCAGTGAATTAGGGGATGGGCTTACATTTTCTTTTGGGTTTTCTACTGTATCACTAACTGTCCACTCACATGATGGCACCACAGTGTTTTTATTCTTAGAGCGTCTCCAAACTCTTTCATTATCAGGAAGTGTCAATCCTGCCTCAGTTTTTCTTTTCCAAAAGTTTCCTGGCTATTTTCAGACATTGATTTTCCTGTTTACCTTTAGAACAAAAAGGCTGTATTTTAAAGTAAAACTCTTTGGGTGAAGATGGACTAAACTCTCTGCTACATGTACTTTTCCACATTGTATCGTACATTATTTGTTTACGTTTTTATAGGTCCCACTGCACTAGAAACTCTTTTAGGTCAAGGGAAACTCTTATACCTCTGGAGGCTATGAATAACAGGAGCTCCACAGAGGTTCACTAGATCGATGATAACGTGTGTGAATACAGTAGGCTTGAAGGGAGGCTGTGTCCATGATCCTCCAGAAGTAGGTGCTTAGGACCTCTCAATTCCATTCAATTCTAGTGCTATTCACTGGTGACCCTGTCAAGTAGCAAGGCCACTGGTGGCTTTTAGTTAGTGGTAATGGCATGAGGAAAATGGAAGGGAACCTGGGGGATGAGAAGCATGGTGGTCCTGTGGAAAACGACGACAAACAGAGGTGGATGACACGTGTTCTCACATTGGTAATGGTTAAAACCAGGAGTGGATGATGGGGACTTGTGGGGCACATGTGTGAAGATGTTTACCTGGGTTGATATCATGCATGGTTCTTTGAGCAGGTGCTGATCTGTGACCTGGGCAGAGGTTATCTTCCCTGGAAGCTGAGGGCTGGTGGTGAGTGGGGAATGGGCCCTTGGGGCTGACTTCTGCGGGAGCTGCTGTTGAGCATCAGGTTGCTGGGTGCTGCTGAAGCTCAGGGATACAGCTGGCTGCTGCATAAACATCTGGAAGAACAACAGGAATGCCTTTAAGGTAGAGTCACAGGGCCTCCACAGGTCTGTACTTGTATCTTCTGTCCATGGGAAGAGGTCTGCTTTCTCACTCTCTCTCATGGACATGGAGACATGAAGTGCCCAGATGCCACAGCACAGGGCAAGGTCCCTGAAATAAAGCACTGGACCAGACAGAGACACTGACCTTGACTTCGAGAAGGTTATAGACTAGTGATGGGGGTCTAAAGATGTCAAGATGTTTAGACCCAGATGTTCTATCAATAAATTGACCTATGTAAACCTAAAACTAATACAAAATAATATTGAATGTAAACTGTAATTGAAAAATAAAATTTAAAAATAAATGGATGTACTTGCATAGAGTCTAGGCTGGCTTATCAGTTTATTGTTAGAATGGAGGAATATCTTGTCAATGGAATGAATGACATGATAATGGGGGTAGAGAGTTGGCTAACCTGTGGCATGGATCAGGCCCTGTGCCCAGTCTTGAATCTCTGATCAATGACCAGGGTTTGTATCCATATTGTAGATGGGCACCTTCAACCCAGTGCTCCCAGCCAGGATGGCAAAATTTCCCCCATTAATAAGGTGACTGCACTCCCAGGAAGGCAAAGGGGTATGGAGATGATGACATCATATCAAGTCCACGTACTTTAAATCATGTTTAAGAATAAGCTTTATAGTCTCTGTGATACTCTCAATACATTGTTATCTAAGATGCCTCAGAAATAATTGAAGAGGATGTGATACATTAGCCTGGTGATTTTAATTTGAAAGGCTTAGGAGAATTTGATCAAGTTTGTAAAGAGTGTTGAAGTGTTGTGGAACCTTGATCTATCTCATTTATAAGTTTGGTGTATTTGATTAAGAAGAATTGCTTAGGTGCTTACAAAGATTTCACTTCTTAGGCTTGCAAGTCTCCCTTGTTAGTTATATGAAATGTTTGAAAGATTTAGGTATATTAGATTGGTAAAGTAATAGCTTTGGTAGATAATGTTGCTTATTTACAACTTGTTAAATTTATAAACTAATTAAACATAAATAAAAACAAGTAAAAATATTGATTCCTTTAGACCAAATTAGTAAATTTGTAAATACAAGATAATCTGTACAAGATAATCTGACTCTAGAGGCTTAAGAAAAACTTTAATAGTTTTAATAATAATTTAAACATAAGACCTGTAACTAGTTCTTTTACAGAAGCTTCTCTAGGGCATTCAAAATGTTAACTAGTGATTGCTTAGTCAGTGCAAAGAGATAATTGTACATATCTGTTTATATTCTTACAGGTTCCACTACACTAAAAGCTCTTTCATGTCAAGGGCAACTTTTATTTCTCTGGGGGCTGTGAATTACCTATATATTCTGATTTTTGACAAACGTTCCACTCCATTTTAGGCTTTTACCTTTAAATTCTTCAGGGAAGGCTCTCTTTCTCTAGCATCTGGAGTTTGAACCCCAATTCCTTCAATCAGTGAGGTACAGCCTCATACCCAGTACAGAACCAACAAGTAACATTTGCTGAGTGATTTTGGGAAAGCGGATATAGAACCATGCCATACAGATGCCTGGAGGAGCACTTAAAGGCCAGGCAGTTCAAGTATCTGGTTAAGAGGTGGGGTCAGCATCTACCAGAGGCCCGAGGTTGGTGGGTGGCCTAGCTGGACCACTTTTCCCATCTAGTGTGCTTCCCACCACGCCACCTGTTCCCCACTTTCCTGTTACAGATCCAGCCCCAACAGAGAAGTCTGCAGTGTAAAATGAGGGCTCTTTTCACTTTAGAGGTTAAAATTTTTTTCTGGGTATCCATCATCTCAGATTTAGTACCCATTCAGTACAGATTCAGCCTGAGGATTAGTGCTTTGTGTAATTCCTGCTGCCCATTATAATATGGCTTCTTTGTAGCACACAGGGTGACCTAGACTTCAGCACTTCTCACTCAAACCAAACCAAATAACATACTTTTTTTCTGGTAAAATACAATGTACCTTCAGATTACAGCTCAAATAAATGCAATCTTTATTTATGACAGGCTATAGTCTAGTTTAAGTCAGACATCCGTTAGCTCAAATTCCACCTCCACCATGTAGTAGTGGTATGACCTTGGGTAATTTTCATAACTTTTCAAAGCCTTAGTTTCCTCATTAATAAAATAGTGACACTAGTAGCACACACTTCATAATAGCACATATGCTTGGTTTGCTACTGTGTTGCGTTAATGTGTGATTTCCTGTTTATCTCTGTATCTCCAAAGTGCCTAACCAAGTGCCTGGGCATCTGCTGGATGGATGGATATATAAAAGATGGATGGATGAGTGGATGGATGCAGGGGAAGATGGATGAATAGAAAGAAGGATGAATGGAAGAAGAAAGGAAAAAAGGGAGGGAGGGAGAACAACATTGCCCTTGTAACAGGTGTCCTTCCAGGCATTTCTAGCAGAGGGAATACATGCTCCCAAAAGGAAAGGAAGAAGCAGCCTTCCCCAGACTGCAGGGGGCGACGGAGCCTTTGCGTTCAGCCAGGTGGCCGCTCCCCTGTGACTACATCCAGGTGCAAACAGCAACACGCAAGAGGACCGCTCCCTCGCAACCCGATCTTTTTAGAAATCATACTAAGCAAGCATCACCTGCGTACACACTCTTAGTGAGACATCTGAGCCAATGAGTAGAGTAGGAAAGCCTACTGCATGAGGACAGAGCATGAGTGGGGCAGCCTTTGGTGTGAGTCAGTGCACAGCCAGCCGTGACTTCTTAAAAGGGCTCCGCGGTCAATTGTACAGGAAGAAAAACAGTTCCCCAGTTCAAGTGGAAGTTATCAGAGAGAAGATATACTTCTAACTTTCAAGAACAAACCAACCATACACTCATACATGGTTTTTCAGTATTCTTATCTGCTTACTTCTACAAATATTAATTATTCCAGAATATTTCAGATGTACACAAAGTGGAGATATTGTGCAATGAAACTATATAATTCACTAAGCTTCCACAATTATCAACGTTTTGCCATTGCTATTAAATCTACTCCCACTTTTTGGAAGGGAGGAGTAATTTTTACTTGTTTTTCTTTATGACCAAATCATATCATTTCTTTTTTTTCTAAATAAATATCACATTTTGATTAAATATTTTGGAAGGCATTTCTTTAAATCTCTAAACTTGCAAGTACAAGAAGGCAGCCACTATTGGAGGAAATGTTCTCTGATTAATTACCTGTGGATTTTTGTGCTCTCTGGATAATCCCACCTCAAAGATAATATCACAGGAATAAAGTGAGAAGGGACACACCAGGACAGAACTGAAGGCTTGGTTTCCACATTCTCCCTCACAGTTCCATGTACTTGCTGGCATATGTGTTTGGGGGTTAACAAAATGCACTGGTCATGAGGAACAAAAAGAGTAATTCTTTGTAAAAGGAAGGAAAGACATAACTTGTGTTGCCTGTTATTTTAGAGTATAGCCTTAATGTCGAAAAGGTGGGAAGTAGAAAAGTCTGAGCTCTGAGAAGGATGTTCATATGCCTGCCTTTCTTGCTTTCAATTTCTGGCTCAATTTCCCCCTTCCTGTTAGTGTAAAAACTCCATTCAGTTAACTGAAGTCAGACAAGTTCTACCAGTTGGACCTTGGATCAGAGAGAAAAGAATACAGCTGGGGAAGAATGAGTAAATAGGGACTTAGATACCTCAATGATTCCACTTCTTTCTATGTAAATGGTTCAGTCTTTTCCCTCATCAATGTCAAGGGTGTCCCTGAAGAGGGTAGGCTGGGGCAGAGCAGCAGGGTTCTGGGGGTGGCCGTGGCTTTCTCAGCAAAGCTTGGTCACATGTACACAAGCAGGCCTGGGTGACAGTGGGCAGGAGCTGTGAGTCTTGCTGAGCTCCGACCTCTTTGGGGAGCCAGACGTGGGCTCAGAGTGCCATGCACGGCAACTCTGGTGAGCCCAAGGACAGAGGATGGTCTGCCCCAGGTGTGTCCTGTTGCTCAGTAACTCCACACCTTGTGTGATGCCTGCACATGGCCTGCCCATTGGGGTCTCACTTGTACTCGAGGATCTGTGTGGACAGTGAAGGGGTGGAACAGGGACTGTGCTCCAGCCATTTTACCCAGGGAGTCTCTTATACTTCTTTCCGTCTCTCCTAATGAGTGCAAAGGTTTAGCGCTTTCAGGAAAAACTCCCAAATAGCTAGAATTACATTTACAATTAAAGGTTGGTAAAAAACAAAACAAAACAAAACAATGCACTTTGGAAGAAAAACAGTCCTGGACTGACATAAGTGACATTTGGTAAAAATAATTTATCCTTGAAATAGATCCAATATACAAGGTATGGCACAAAAGCACCCCCTTTGATGAGCTGATAATCTATACAAAATCTTTTATTACCAAATCATAAGTGTGTAATTTTGTAACATACCAATATCTCACTTAAGCACACCATATGATAATTTAGGTGAAATGTTCATATTGCTGTCTATCTTGTGTGAGACCTTTACGTACCCTACCAACCACACCCAATGGTGTTACTTCTGCCAGACCCTGTATAAAGTTTTCCTCCAAGATGAAACTCTCAGGAGGATTCAAAGAAGAGACAACTGGGGTCACAGCAACTGCTGCCATCAGTGCCTGCAGAGCTCCCCAATTTGGCAGGGTGCTGACCTCCAGTTTCCAGCCTCTCTGCTTGTCCCCATTAGGATGCAGATGCCATCACTTCCCACACCTCCTCCCTCTGCTTTAACTGAGGGGAAGCAGAAGCAGAGCTGCCCCCATGTCTCTGTCGGCAGCCTGGGCTAGGAGCTGGAATTTATAACCCATAGGATGGAGGCTGGCATAGCCCAGGGTGATGTACCTCAAAACCCATGAATGCAGGCGAGCCAGCAAATACATGCCCAACAGAGATAGGGGAGAGTGAAGAGGATGTCATGCAAACTTTATGTTTGGTTTGGAGTTGGGGACAGAAAAGGTGGTGTTTATTCCTGTACCTCTTCCATGGAGGTTTCAACATGGCTTGAGAGCAGGGCATATTCAGGCCATACAGGGGGACTGGGGAGGATGCTTTGCCTGTCCTTCAAGGGTGGATCAGGACCCATCAGGGAGCAGAGAGGAGAGGCCACACTGGACTACTGGCCCAGCAGGGGCGTCACCTGGACCCTGGAGTCCTGGACCAGGCAGAGCTGCTCCTGGATCCTGTGGAGCTCCTCCTGCTGCCACCGGATGTTGGCCTGCAGGACCCGTGTGCGCTGTTCCAGCTGGTCTTTGATGGTCTGGAACATGCTGAACTGTGCTGGAAACTTCAAGATGGAATCAGAAAACATAACCAGATGAGAGTTATTTCTGCCTCACAGACAGATGTTGCTGCTGTTCTGAGTGACCCTGCCAACTCTGGGGCCAGAGAGGACTTGTTACCCTCCCTCCTCTCACCCAAGCTTAGTTGTGGCTACGGATTTCTTAGAAATCTGTGCAAAACAGAACTAAGGAGAATAGTACAATCACAGAACATGTATCCCGAAGTGACCTTGTAGGAGGGACACTGATAATGATTTTTCCAAGAGCACTGTCTCCCTTTGCTTATACCTCTCACTCCCTTCTGGAACAGAGGATGGATTTAGGAAAGTCTTGGCAGGTGATCTCTGCTCCCTGTTAGCACCTATCTACCCAGACACAAGGCCAGTGGAGAGGGGGGATTATGGGATGGGAGGTACGTATAAAACTACCTATGTTATACCAGACTGTATTACAAAAATCTTCATCAGAATGTAAGCAATCAAAAAAAAAAAAAAAAGAATGTAAGCAATCAAAGCACTCAGCTGGGATTTTGAAATAGAATTCAACTGAGAAAGAAAACAAGCTAGATCAGATAATTTAAAAAACAAGACACAAAGCTTCTGTGGTAAGTTCTAGAAAGTCAGGACATACTCAGGGGTGCTTCTGCTGTGTGCAGTGCAGACTTTCTTCGTTGAGAGACTGTGCAGTCCTCCAGGATCAGCACTGGGCTTCATAAGTGCTACTTATAGTAAGATTCTTATTTTCTCAAGGCATTCAGAACACCCAAGCATTACAGTCATGATCTTGGCATTTTTCATAAATAAGTCTACTCTAACTTAGAAACTTTTAGAAGGATGGTATGAAGTAAAACCACTAGTTTCCCAGATTTTGGATTTTGTTTTTTCCCTCCTTTCCTGACAAGGTGCTACAGTAGTAACCTCAGTGAGGGCAGGAGAGAAAACTGTAGAACTCATTGTTGCATGCTGGGTATATATGAGAAGAGCCAACTGTTTGACTTGAAAGGTCAGCATTATGCAAAAATGTCTTAAAGAATGTAGTTATTAAGTATAATATATATGCCTAATAGACTAAGAACTGTTTTATTAATTAAAATGAGGTCTGATAAACAAAAAAAGGGGCCTTAACCACTCATTTTATATTTATTATAAAACAAAGAAATTCTTGACTATGCAAGACCCAGAGTGAAGGGAATTCTCATTTCCTGTGTCTTTGGATTGAAAAAGGTATTAATTTAATTACCAAATTGTGCCTGGAAATTTGAGCATAAAAAATTCTTTATTATTTTTTCCCTAATGAGAATGAATATAGACTAATTTAGTTAGCTGACTCTGAATGAGTAGCTTTTACATCTTTACTGAAACCTGACTTTGGGAAGAAGCATGTGTTAACTTGTGTTTTTCTTCTTTCAGGAACATTAGAGACGACTGCTGATGGGGCCCAGGCCTCAGGCATGTCAGACATTTCCAAATGTCCCTGTTGAAGCACATACCTGGGTCCCTCTTCCCTGCTGACCCTGGTCCTCTCCCTCTCCACTGGGAAACCTCCCGCCCATCCTTCCAGGCCCAGCTCAGGTATCACCTCCTCTGGGAAGCCACATCGGATTTTCCTAGGCAGAACATTTTCTTACTGGTTCTATAAAAACACATGCCTTGCCATGGTGGTTTCTCTCTTTATATGCCCAACTTCACTTAAACTTAAAAACAATGGCTGTGTCTAGCTCACAGACAGACCCACGTAGGAACACATTGAATGCTCCTGAAACAAGGAAAGTTACTTAGCAAAGTTGTGAGCACCACACCCTACCCTTTTTAAAACAAATGTGCTGTCTGTAGTACTGGAGTCACAGCTTTTAGAGCCTTTCAGAATCTTCCTGTGACATTTGGCCTAATTCACACCTTTTCTAAAATATCAGGGTCGACGTGGAGTGGTAAAAAAATGAGGAACATGGGAAAGTGGCAGAGAGATAAATATTATTTAAAAGACTGAGAAACACACACTGGAGAAAAGGACAGGGTGTCTCTGAAGATAAGAGTAGTGAACAGGACAGGTGTAGAAACAAAGTCCCTAGCTCAACAAGCCCCTCCTGCATGTTGGGAGAAATATTCCCTATTTTGGTACCTAAGCACATGCTACTCATCAGCACTAATGCATTCGCACACTCAAGAGGATACAATATGTTCTGTCTTGGGAAATTCCACTGCCAGACTCCCTTTCTCCTCCAGTCCCAGACTCACCTGTGCTAGGGCAGCAGGTGAGTTCTGCAAAATGGTCTGAGGCAGGAGCTGCTGTGCGAGGTCATAGGATGATGGAACAGGCAGGGGAACCTGGGGAAGAGAGGGGCCCTATCAACAGACACTGCTTCTGGGTCATTACAGAGGTACAGGGGTGCTGTCTCTCAGCCAGCTGAGTTTCCTGGCTTAAAAGGAGGCCCTGCTGTACTAGAGTGAGGAGCTCACCTCTGAAAGGTATAGGTGTGTGTTTCCTGGGAAAAGGTGGGATAGCAGGCTGGTGCAGTGTACAGGTGGTCCTTGAGCAAGCTCCTGGGGTTACTCAGTGTGTGTGGTGCCTCTCATCAGGGTGTGCTTTGCAAAGCTGCTGCTACCTTCTGGAGCTTGGCAGCTCCACACCACTTCTCCTCCCTTGCTTCTTCTTTAGACTCTGTTCTTGGGGGAATTTGGTTACTCTTCTCCTTAACTAATAATTTTTAGCAGTGTCACTGAGCAGTGTGAATGAGGTTGTACTGATAACCAGTGTTGGCTCTGTGTGCAGTCCTTATCCTTTTTGCTCAATACTAATTCAGGTGGACAGACATGTCATACATAATTATGAGCATGAACTCATCCAGGCAGTGAATACTGGTGCAATTTGCCAGACTCTGCCTGGAATCTGTTAGACACTCCTGGGAAATCAGGTGAGTGGCAGACCTTGTTCTCTGATCACTTGGGTGGGTGGAGAGACAATGTGTAAAAAAAGAAATGAAACCATCAGCATCACAGGCTGACTTTTAAAAGAAAAGTAAAAGGGTTCTTCTGAAGTTATTCCAAAACTGTCCTCGGTCCCTAGGGACTGTGTCAAGCAGCCCAAATGGAAAGTGCCATCAGGACAACATGGGAGGAAATGACAACAGGAGACTTTGTTTTGAGTGAGAATTCCCAGGTACAGGGCTAAACCAAAGACTGGTGTTGATTTTCCTAACTGTGTTCCCCACAACTGCCGGAGGGAATAGGAAAACTGTGTGGGCACTGGTGGCAGGAAGAGTTCTCCTGGGAAGCCACAGGTAAGTGGAAAGGCAGTCAGAGCTTACAAGCTTGTCTTTGTGTGGCTGGAGAGAAAGATAGTGGTTTTTGTCATATTCAATTTGAGAAGAAAATGTGTCACCCATGTTTTTCAAACAGTGTGTACATAATCTTTGTGGTGATGGCAAGCAGGAAGATGGCACATTTACTCCCATCTCCAAAATGTCAGTGAGAGATGGGTATGAGGTATTTGGCAACTGTCTAGATGTAGCCCTTAAAATTCTTGACACTTCTTCTATCTAGACGTGGAGATCTATGTCTTTCTTTTTGAGTAAGGGACTGCTTTGACCCAAGACGTCAAGAGGTGTGACAGAGGTGATGATGCTGTGGACCTTCCAAGGCTAAGTCAGAAAAGGCCATGAAACTCCCTCTCCAGACATTGCCTTTTGGAACCCAGTCACCAAGGCAGAAGAAGCCTGGAACATGGATAAGCCTGTGCAAATCAATAGTGGACAGTTTCAGCTGGGCCCAGCCTTCCACCAGCCCAGCCCAAATGCTGGACATGTTAGGGCAGACACATCTGGGATGGCGTTCCCAGTCTTGCCTAGGGAGACCTTTGACACCATGCAGCAGGTCCTTTTTGAACTCTTGACTCAGAATCTGTGAACATGAAAAGTGGCTGTTGCTTTGTGTCTCTGAGTGTGACATGCTTGAATATGGCCATAGATCACTGGAGTGCCACAAGTCAAGCTGCTCATGGCCTGACTTCTGGAGAGGTCTGGCATGTATCAAGGACACTGCCTGGTATATGCAGAAGTACATTTTGGTTTATAAGAAAGCTTCTCACACATTTTCACTGGAGGAAAATTAGTTCCAAAAATGGGAGGATCCTAATCATGCCCCCCAGAGGCTCTGGGGATATGACCTCAGGTTTGAAGTTTTGAACTTTATCTCTAAAACTCACTTGTATTTTTCCTTTTAGGAATATACATCCATGTTAATTTTGGTATGAAAATATTAAAAATTAGTTGCCAATGAAATCACCCAGCTTCCCAACCCTACCTACCACCCAAAACTCTCAGCCTCTAAGTAGAACTGGTTCTCTGGGTAGATGCAGCCCACTATCTGTGGCCCTGCAGGCCTGGCACAGTATTGCATCCCCTGATTAAGAAGTCTTGGGTCACACACATACCGGTATCATGGCTGCCTGGCTAAGCCGTGGCACAGGGAGCTCTCGGGGCAGGACGGCCAATCTTGGCACAGCCGTGGTGCTGGCCTCTGTCATCAGCTGGCTTGGAGTGGCTGGAAGAAAGCAACAGATCACTTTCCTGACTTGCACATCCTTAACAGCTTTCTCATCAAGAGGGGACAATGACCCTGTGTACATGAAAAAAGGGCTTGACTGCAACCTCTGATAAAGGAAGTTCAGCAGAAACAGAAGTGGGTTCCAGAGCCACAATATTCTTCCAGCCTCCACTCTGGCCCCGGAGCCAAGGAATGACAGCAGACCATCCCCACACTTCATCTCCACCACTTGCTTCAGCCACATGCCTGACCACTCACCTTACCAGAGCTACTAAAACATAGCCAGATTATTGAATCTGTGTATCACCTGTGTTATGTCTGCTTTGTGCGGCACTGGAGTAATCAGGGCCTGGAGAGGCAGAAGGCTGGAAGCCAATGGGAAAGGAAGCAGGAATGTGAACAGAGAGTATACTTCTGTTTCACAGGCATACACAGGCCTGATTCTGCTCAGGCCTGAGGCCTTTTCTGGGGCTCTGTTCCCCGCCTCCCGGCCCCCAACAGAGCACCCACCCTTTTCCCCATCCATGGCATCATACTCACAGGTGGATTCTGACATGCCCGTGTGTGAGGATTTATGGGAACTTCTTGAGGACGCTGATGGCGAGTGACTTGTGTTAAAGACTGAGGTGCCCATGTCAAGTGCCTTAAAGTGCCGCTGAGGTTCCAGGCTTGAGCCCTTGTCCAGAAACAGAAAGACAGACAGACAGACACACACACACACACACACACACACACACACGCACGCACGCACACACACACAATCCACATTTCAGCATCGAGATGATGAAAGTGAATCACGTGACTTTAGTTCTCCACTAAATATGTAGGAAAATGTAGAGGTTGTTGAGAGAACTCCTGTAACTGTTTGATGATAGTAGCAAACCCACTTGGGTGGAATATTTTTACACCTCTGTAAATACAATCTTTGAGAGAATTGTAGCTTATGAGCAGCAGTTATTACACTTTCTCACCTTGTATCTTAATTTCTTGGATTTTGGTGACTTTGCGTTTTACTTTTTCCTTAAAGTTGTCATCTTACTGCCCAGAATTTTGACTTCCCCAGAAGGAGGAAAGAGGGCAAGTTCCAGAAATAAAGTTGCTGGTGATACTAGGCTGTGAATACTTCAAATGAAATAAATACCTCCGGACTCTTTTGGACACTTCCTATGATCTCTCCCACTACTCGCTCCTCCTCTGCAGACTTTGGGCTCCCAAGTGCAGAAGGGGCAAAGGGCCAGTGGTCCCCTATCCTCGGACCACTTCATCATAACTGATGCTGGTTCCTTGCATTTCTCTGTCTCAAATAAAGTGTGACGAGAAAGCAGCTGTGAATTTCCAACGCTGAGAAGTCATCTTTCCACCCTGCAAGGCATTAAGTGTCTTAGGTATAAGAAAGTAGGTATAGTAATTTTTTAAAAAGATTTTACTTATTAATTTTTAGAGAGAGGAGAAAGGAGGGAGAGAGAGGGGAGAAACATCAATGTGCGCATGCCTCTCGGCACCCCTACTGGGGACCTGGACTGCAACCCAGGCATGTGCCGTGACTGGGAATTGAACCAGTGACCCTTTGGTTTGCAGGCCGGCATTCAATCCACTGAACCACACCAGCCAGGGCAGGTATAATAATTTTTAAGCTAAAGAAGAAATATGATAATGACTCTCTTGAGCTATGCTCCTACTTAGTCTTAGAAGGATGATAAAACTACTGGCATCCACTGGGCTATGCGGACAGCTGGTCACACTGTCTCAGAGATTAAAACCCAATAGATCCACACGGCCTCAGAGATTAAAACCCAATAGATCCACACGGCCACTCTGTCTCTTAGTCATGGTTCTAGTGAGTGTGAATGCTGTGTATGTGCTTGTGTAGGTCTGAAATGATTAATGCGTGACCTACAGGCCTTTGTGTAAAACAGAATTATAGGATGTGCTTGGCTGTGTTAAGTGCCAGTTTTGAGACTCTGTTGCTTAGTCAAATCTCCCCTAAATAAGGCCCCTTAGATGGGGGTCCCTCCCTGGCCCACAACCATTTACAAGTGGTCCACAGAGAAATAAGTACAAAAAATGAGATTGAATACTGAGAAACTTTTATAGCCATTTGATGTCACCACACTTCATGGGAATCTGCCATTTATACTAACAGTAGTCAGTGACATATTTGACATTAAAAAAACCAACTAGTTCATTACCACTGATAGTTTGCAAAGCATTGTCCTGGAGCTTTTCCTTTAGAAGGACCTCTTTTTCCTTTAAAAATAACCTGGCACCTGAGATTGTGTTTGTGTATTTACACATATGTGCATGTTTATAAGAGAAGTTCCACTGGGCTCTGGGATTCTTAAAGGACCAGAAATTCAATAATGAATCTCTGACTAGATGACATATGTTAACTCTGTTCTTCAGCTATGATGTATCATGTGTAAAACACCTACCTATAAACAGCTTAATTCCATTCTTGGAATGATACATGATGCATTATGTGATAGAGCTGGCTAAGAAACATTTCCATAAAAAATGACAGGTGGTCATATTAGTATGCTGGTGATGAATCATCTTACAATGCACCCCACGTAGTAGCCGGCAAGGGAGGCTCTGCAAAGATGCTGGCTGCTGTTTGGTCTTTATTTTTTTATTTACATTTTTTTATTGTTCAAAAACATTTATCTCCATTTCCCACCACCACTTTCCCCTGCCCCACCCACCACCACCTCACCCCCTCAATCCTTCCCCACTTTGGCTTTGTCCATGGGCCCTTTATATATGTTCCTTTACTTGACTCTTCCCCTTCTTTTCTCCATTACCCCCATACCCCTCCCCTCTCATTACTGTCGGTTTGTTTTTTCTTTCAGTGTCGCTGGTTATATTTTTCTTGCTTGTTTTGTTGATTAGGTTCCACTTATAGGTGAGATCATATGGTATTGGTCTTTTACCCCCTGGCTTATTTTTCTTAGCATAAGGCTCTCCTGTTCCATCCATGTTGCCATGAGGGGTCGGAGTTCCTTTCTTTCTGCTGCATAGTGTTCCATTATGTATATGTACCAAAGTTTCTCGAACCACTCATTTATTGAAGGGCACTTAGGTTGCTTCCAATACTTGGCTATTGTAAATTGTGCTTCTATGAACATTGAGGTGTATAGTTTCTTTTGCATTGGTGATTTGGGATTCTTAGGGTATAATCCCAGCAGTGAAATTGCAGGGTCAAAAGTCAGCTGCATTTTTAGCTTTTTGAGGAAATTCCAAACTGTTTTCCACAGTGGCTGCACCAGTCTGCATTCCCACCAACAGTGTACTAGGGTTCATTTTTCTCCACAACTTCAACAGCACTTCTTGTTTGTTGATTTGGTTATGATGGCCATTCTGAATGGTGTGGAGTGGTAGCACATTGTGGTTTTAATTTTCATCTCTCTGATGGCTAGTGATGATGAGCATCCTTTCACATATCTTTGGACCCTCTGTATGTCCTCCTTGGAGAAGTGTCTGTTCAGGTCCTTTGCCCATTCTTCTAATTTGATTGTTTGTCTTCCTGGAGTGGAGTCACCTGAGTTCTTTATATATTTTGGAGGTCAAACACTTGTCGGAGGTTTCATTGGTAAATATCTTTTCCAATATGGTTGGTTTTCATTTTGTTGATGTTTTCTTTAGCTGTGCACAAGCTTCTTATTTTGATGAAGTTTCATTTGTTTATTCTTTCTTTTATGTCCCTTGTTCTAGCAGACATATCGGTGAAAATATTGGTGTGTGGAATATCTGAGAGTTTCCTGCCTATGTGCTCCTCTAGGACTTTCATGGTGTCCTAACTTTTATTTAAGTCCTTTAACTATCTTGAGTTTATTTTGGCAAATGGTGTAAGTTGGTGATCGAGTTTAATTTTTTGCACGTGGCAAAAAATCTCCCAACACCATTTGTTGAAGAGGCTATTTTTACTCCATTTCATGCTTCTGCCCACTTTGTCAAATATTAATTGACCGTAGAGATATGTGATTATTTTTGGAAAGATTATATTTTTCTAGAAATTTGTCCATTTCATTGAGGTTTGCAAATTTCTTGGTATATAGTTGTTTGTAGTGATTTCTTATAATCCTTTGCATTTCTGTGGTATCAGTTGTAATTTCTCCTCTTTCATTTCTGATATTATTTATTTCCGTCTTCTCCCTTTTTTTCTTGATGAGTATGCATAAAGGCTTGTCAATTTTGTTTATCTTTTCAGGGAACCAGCTCCTGGATTTATTGATCTTTGAATTTTTCTTTTAGTCTCTATGTCATTCAATTCTGCTCTGATCTTAATTATTTCTTCCCTCTATTTACTCTGGGCTTTTTTGTTGTTGCTCCAGCTCTTGAAGGGCTAGGTCATTTATTTGAAACACTTCTATCTTTTTTAGGTAGGCCTGTATTGCTATGAACTTCCCTCTCAGGACTGCCTTCTCTGTGTCCTATCGGTTTTGGACTGTTGTGTGTTCATTTTCATTTGTTTCCAGAAATGTTTTTATTTCTTCTTTGGTCTTCTTATCAACCAATTCATTGTTTAATAGCATGCTATTCAGTTTCCATAAGTTTGAATGTTTTTGAGTTTTTTCCTTGAGGTTGGTTTCTAGTTTCAAGGCCTTGTGGTCCGAAAAAATGCTTGTTATGATATCAATTTTCTTGAATTTGTTGAGGCTTGTTTTGTATCCTCTCATGTTGTTTATCTTTGAAAATGCTCCATGTGAATTTGAAAGGAATGTGCATTTTGCTTCTTTGGGATGAAAGTTTCTATATATGTCAGTTAAGTCCATTTGATCTAATGCATATTTCAGTTCCACAATATCCTTGTTTATGTTTTGTTTGGAAGATCTGTCCATTTGTGACAGGGGGCTGCTAAAGTCCTCTACTACCAGTGTGTTGCTGTCTATATCTGTCTTGAATCCCTTCAAAGTCTTCCTGATATATTTGAGTGCTCCTATGTTGGGTGCATATAGGTTTACAATGTTTATGTCTTCTTAATGAGTTCTTCCTTTGAGTATTATGAAGTGTCCTTCTGGATCTCTTTTTATGGCCTTTGTGTGGGTCATGTTTTCTTATACATTCAGCTTCCTTATGTCTTTTGATTGGAGCATTTAATTCATTTCCATTTAAAGTTATTATTGATAGGTACTTATTCATTTTTTTCTCTTTGTACCTGTGTTCCTTCTTTCTCACTCATTTTCTTCCTCTTCTTAAAGCAGTCCATTTGGCTCTGGCTGGTGTGGCTCAGTGGATTGAGTGCTGGACTGTGAAAAAAAGGGTCACTGGTTCAATTCCCAGTGCAAGGCACATGCCTAGTTTGCAGGCCAGGTCCCTGATAAGGGGTGCACGAGATGCAACTACACATTGATTGTTTCTCTCTTCTCTCTTTTTCTCTACCTTCCCCTCTCTACAAATAAGTAAAAAAAAAAATTAAAAAAACCCTTACATAAAAGCAGTCCCTTTAGCCTTTCTTGCTATGCTAGTTGTGTGTGTGTGTGGGGTGCGAGGGTGGTATGTGTGTGTGTATTCTTTCAGCCTTCTTTTCTCTGGGAAACTCTTTATTTTGCCTTCCATTTTCATTGAGGGCCCTGCTGGGTATAGCAGTCGTGGTTGTAGGCCTTTGTTTTTCATTTCTTGGAACATTTGTTGCCACTCCCATCTGGTGTGCAGTGCTTCTGTTGAGAAGTCAGCTGCTAGCCTTATCAGGGCTCCCTTGTATGTTACTACCTGTTTCTCCCTGCTGCGTTTAAGATTCTCTGCTTGTCTTTGATATTTGCCATTTTAATTATGATGTATCTTGGAGTGGGCCTCATTGGGTTCCTCTTGAATGGGAACCTCTGTGCTTCCTGGGCTTGTGTGACTTTTTCTCTCCTCTAATTAGGGAAGTTTTCCATCATTATTTTTTCAAACAGGTTTTGTATCCCCTGCTCCTCTTCTCTTTCTGGTATCCCTATTATATGGATATTATTATGTTTCAGGTTGTCCTGCATTTCCTTATACCCCTCTTTATTCTTTTTGAGTCTTTTTTGATTTCCTTGCTCTCTGGGAAATTTTTTCTTCCTTGTCCTCCAGCTTATTGATTTGATCCCCTGCTTCATCAAGCCTGCTTTTGATTCCTTCTACTGTGTTCTTCAACTCAGAAATTGTTTTCTTCATTTCTTCTTGTCTTTTGTTGACAGTTTCTATGTCCTTTTTCAGCATGATGTAAGGTCTTCAGTAAGTTCCTCGTAGTTTCCCTGTAGTTTTTGGTAATTCTCTCTGAGTTCACTGAGCTCATTGAGCTTCCTTACAACCATTGTTTTGAACTCAGTATCTGATAGTTTACTTGCCTTTATTTCATTTAATTCTCTTTTTGGAGATTCCTTCTTTCCTTTCAATTGGGGGTGTTTCTTTGTCTTCCCATTATTTGTGAGACTCTTCTTTTTTGCTTTTGCTTCTTAAGTTGATCTGTCTTGATTTCCTGATTTTGTGATATAAACTTCTATGGTAGGAGACCTGTGAGATTCAGTGGTGCAGTCTTGTTGATCTCCTGAAGTTGATACTCTTTGGATGCTTTTTTTTGCCATTTATGCTGGGTCTCTGGAAGTGATTGGGTTTTGATTGTTGTTTGGTTATTCTTTGGTGGGTCCTGCCCTCTAGCTGGTTGACTGAGGGTCACTCTGCCCAATATTTCTTTGTGTTTTTGTGAAAGTGCTCCTAGTAGAAAACCACAAAGCCCAGGAAACAAACCCATATCCAGAAAAATAACTCCCCCCTGCAATACTACTACTAACAGTAAATGAACCCTTATTAATAAGACTGTAAAGAAATTAAGACTATTATAAGAAAGGAGCAAAATAAACAATTAGTATAAAATCTTATAGCTAAATATGCACAAACTTGATGGACCTGAAATGGATGTTAGAAAGCTATGTAGTAAAGAAAATACTGATAATCATGGAGAAGACCACGGTGGATTTCATCTTGGTAGCCTCTAGTATTTACCACTGTTTTTTCTTTTTGGATCTGCTTCTGGTGATGTCAGGTGTTGACCCCATCTGACTTTAGGCAGTCTTTTTGAGACTTCCAGGAATCTATTGTCTGTGGCTGTCTCCTTCAGTTGTTAATCTAGTCACTCTGCACTCAGCAGTCAGGCTTAGGCATCGCGGGGAAGAGTAGAGTCCCTCCTGGGGCAGGGCTGTTGTTTCCTCTCATGCTGCTGCTGCTCAGGAGAGCAGTCTGCCTGAGCAGGGTGGCTGCTGTGGTATGGGTGATGACTCAGCACTGGGATCCCACAGGGTACTCCCTCAGAGCCTCTATCTCCAGTCTGTCCTCAAGTTTCTCTAGTTCACTATGCGCCCCTCTTAGGCAGGAATGTCCTCTCTGTGTCTGCCACTCTGTACTCAGCAGTCAGGCTTAAGTACCACAGGGCCAGGGCAGAGTCTCTCTTGGGAGTGGGACAATTGTTTCCTTTCATGCTGCTGCTGCTCAGGGGAGTGGTGTGCCTGATCAAGATGGCTGCTGCTATATGGGGGAGGAGTCTGCACCAGGATCATGCCGGCTGCTGCCTCAGTTCTCTCCCCAAGCCTTGGTCCCCAGTCTCTCCTCAGATGTCTCCAGCTCACTCTGCTCCCCACCTTTGCTGGAGTCCAGGGTAAGTGGCCGTGAATAAAAACTTAAGCGTTGGCCCTTTAAATGGTTCTTTGTGTCTCTAGCCACCTGTGTCTGGCAGAGAGCAACCCTGTCACTTTTCGCATCTGGCTGTTACCTGTGTACTTTTGGGTTCTGTTGCTGTAGGCTGCAGATTCTCATTTATGGTTTAGACCCCACTCTATTTAGGGGATCCAACTGGCCACTTATATATCCCTCTGGCACTGCTGCTGTGGGCGCCCAGCCTACCTTCTCAAGTTTCCACCACATTCCTTACCAGTCAGGTTGTGCTGTGTAGGGGGCTGCTGTGAGTGGTATCAGGAACTGTAGTCCCATGCAAGCTGGGGCCTGGGAGAGGACCTGAAAGCCTTTCACGGAACACTGGTAATGCAGAGACAGGCAAGATCCAATAATAACTCCGAGGGCCCCCAGAGGAAATCACATTTAGAAGTAAATTACACTCCTTGAAGCATGCTTTGTTTCTCCTTCAAGCTCTGTTAATTTATACCAGATAACCAGCTCAAGGTTGGGAAAGAAATTTATAAAATTCCTGGACTCTCACCCAAATCCCACTTGGCACCATAATGCTTGCTCAACTCAGACCTAAGTAGTTCGGTGTGTTCCTGCTATTGTCTTCTTTAAACAACATCTATTCTCTATAAGCTTAAGTTACTGATGTCATTAGATTAACTATACAGTCCTGCTACCTATCCCCCGCTGTAACCCTCTTAATCAAAGCCATGGAGCACAGGGGCTCGGGGCATTCTCCTTTAGAGAGAATCACTTTCCTCTTTCCTTGACAGGCAAATGGTGACTGGAACAACTCATTCTTTCATCCCCGGTGAACTGGGGGACTTTGTAGGATGGAGTCCCCCATAGTGCTACAGCTGATTCTTCTGTCTGTCTGAGATTATAAGGCTTCCCTTTTGCTATTGTTCAGTTGTTTATTCCAGGTGATTTCTCCACCTGGAGTTTAGTTATAATTCTAGATTTGTACTGGGAGGAGGTCAGTGTGACTTCCATTCAGTCCTCTGCCATCTTGCCCCTCCAGGATCGGTCCATAAAGGGTGCTTTATTCAGATGCCGATCGTCTGGGAAGATGGTGGGTTATATACCCTCAAAACCATCTTAGTATCTCATCTCACGCAGACCTCCTCATACTCACTCCCTTTTGGCTTCAGCAATTGGGTGGTAGCTTGAGGGGCACCAGTGGCATACAGGGAAGAATTGAAGTGTCTAGCATTAAGGCAAGCAGAGGCCACTGTGGTCTTTAAAGGGGATTTCTCCTTCCTCTCAACTCAGTCCTGGATAGACCACAGATGACTATGTTGGACTATTGTTACTGCATCAGCCTTGGCCCAAAACTCTGTATTCTAAGTCACTGACTAGCCTAGAACTTGAACCATATTCCAACAATTCTAAAATATTTTGATGTATCTGAAATTGAGATATATTATTCAACTTATGAAAGAAATCCTTATTTCACAGATTGACTGGCAGAATTTTTTTCCTTAGTGGAGGATAAAATAATCATAGAACTTAGAGTTGATAGCTGCTGAATTTTGATGAAACACAACACTCTCTCCCTTTCTTGCTTTCTCTTTTTTTCACCCAACATTTGTGCCTGCTTGAAGAATGGCCTTTGAGGAACAGGGCTCTGGTGTGCTTGCAAGTTGCAGAGATGGGCGAAGCCTGGCCAGAAGGAACTTCAGAGCTTAGCCTGGTGCAGGAAGGAGGTCCAGTTTCATGAAGGAAAATGCTTCAGCACTGGCTGTTAACTAGACCCAGACACAGATATAGGAAGTGTCCAGGAGAGGTGGGTGAGCCCTGGAGGCAGTGCAGCAACGCTGAGGCTAGGGGAGGCACAGGGCTCCTTGAATTATTCCATGCTCAAGGAGATGATGAAATAGCCACCAGTTATTTTTCCCTGTGGGAGAGATACAAAGTGGGATTCTTATAACCATTCTTGGAAGACCAGAAAGTTGTCAAACCATGTTTTGAGTCTAGAGGCTATTTTTAGCTCTGTGAGTTCTAACCCTTGGTGTCTTCAGGAGGTTGGCTCATCCTTGTGTGCTCTGTGCTTCATCTGAAGAATGAGGACTGAGGACGGTAACAGTGTCTACCTCACAGGAACACCATGAGGGGAAATAAATTAATACCTTGAAACCACCCTGAAGAGTACTGGAATACAAGAAGAGCTCATAAGGCAAGACATGCTGTTTTTATTATTATTATTTTTATGATAACCCACCTGGCAGGGATCAGCATACCTTTAGTTCTGAAGGGTGGATGGCCTCAGATGGTGGGTCTTCCAAAGCCAGCTCTTGCCTCCTTTCTACCCGGACATCTGAGTAACTAATCAAGAAATCAAGAGGCCACAGCTGAAGATAGGACAGTCCAGTATGACGTGGCAAAGAGGGCTGCGTGATATATGGAGGTCTCTACATGATACCTTCCCAGAAATGTCACCATGAAGGAGACTAGTCATGATTCTTGCCTGAGAAGGAAGTTTTGATCTGTGCCTAAATACCACTGTAGTGACTTCCGATTTGAAGGTCAGAATATCTTCCTTTTCAGGATATTTTTATTCTATTCTCTTTTATTTCCCTCGTCCACCCCCACAAACCTCCAAACATAATTGTCCAAACATATTTTCATTTATAGGATAAATCTCAGACTTCAAATAATTATAAAACTTTCTTAAAATTTATTAAGCTTAGACTGTGCCTAGGAAGAAGTGACATAACTTTTTTAGTAATTACAACATTCAGAAAGTTTTCTCTTAAACAAACCCAGAACTCTACCCAGACCCAGACTGCTGCTTTGTGTATGGATCCGCTTTTTAAATACTGTGGATAAATCAATTCAACGTGGTGACCCAGCTATGGCCTGTGAGGAGATGCAGGCTGGGCAAGGACCTTGGAAGGAGACAGTAGCTCTAGAGTTTCCAGTATGCTTGTTACCTTATTTATTCACTCACTTCACACCTTACTTTCTCTGAGAGTTTCTTTTTAAGATTTGCAAGGTGGAGGATGGAGAGCAAGAGCAGGATCAAGGAAAGGGTCTGAAGAATAAGGTGTTAATGATGATCAGCCTTCTCTGGGGCACAAGGACCCTCTGGTAAAGGGCACAGGCTGGTAGTATGGTTGGAAATGGCTGCTGAAGTACCCAAGGGTGGGTACTTCAAGTCCCTGAGAGTGGGCAAGTGACTATGATGAGCAGGAGCACTGGCAAAGAAAATTAGCGCTTCTCTCTGCTCTTTCCCCAACTTACTAAAGAATAGTGATTTACTTGTTGACTATTTATGTTCCTGTGTATGTATAGTATGTAGCCATCTAACTGTCTACCTACCTTTATCTATCTAAAGGTGTCTAAAGGTATCTAAAGGTAGGTAGACAGTTAGATGGCTATCTACTATACATACACATACATGTACATACACATGAACTGTTTATCTAAAGGTAGATAGTTAGATGGCTACAAACTATACATGTACATGAACATAAATATTTATCAACTATCAACTATAAGTATCAACTTAATGAACATAAATACTTATCAACTATCAACAGATACTTATCAACTATTTGTTTTATATATATGTACATATATATAATGTAGTATGTATGAATAGTATCTGTATATATGTATATATATCATCTATCTACCTATCATGTATTATGTATATATATAAAATACAGCATGTATATGTAATATCTATTGTGTGTATCATTATCTGTTATCTATCACCTATTATGAATACATATAAAAGACAGCACATATGTGTAATATTTATCGTTTGTATATATTTATCATTCTCTATTGTCTATCACCTATCTATTATGTATATGTATAAAATGCAGCATGCATGTGTAATATCTATTGTGTGTATATGTATTTATCTATCTATATATATCATCTATTATATATATATGTATAATATGCAGCATGCATGCATATGCCTGTCAATCTAACCATTCTTTTTTGCTCTCTTCAAGTGCTCTTCTCTAGATCAGTTTAAAACTAATTGATGTTCTTAAAATTTCTGTAGTCAGGGGGTAAAAAATGACATTTGTTCTGTACCTTTGGGAGTTGTGACCTGACATAGGCATCATCTATGAAGTGCTAGATGTGCTGCTTCCATTGGAAGTCCCAGACCCCACACTGGGCTGGGGTTCTCTGCAGCCTCTAAGAACTGCCAGGAACCTGTGCCCACTAGCCTCCTGGTTCTTTTCCAAACACAGCCTCAGTTGCCAGCAGGAATTTTTTAAACATTGAAAATAAAGGGGTCTATGGGTTTGAGCTATTTAGAAGCAAAATTTTAATTTTCTTCTCAAAACAGTGACAAGGGAAGGATGGGGGATGAACAGAGATGAGGGGAAAACATGTAAGTATGTTGGTGAAGCAGTAACTTACTATGTAATGTGTTGGGTTGCCTGGAAGAGCTCATAAGGCTTCAGAGAAACCTGACTGAACACCAGAAGGAAGTCTGAGCTGGGGGGACAGAATGGGGTGTATGCCTGGAGAAGGCTGAGCTCTGGTGATCACTCTGACAGCTGCAGAGTGTAGCTCTGGCCAGTGGAAGAAGTCCAGCCTGGAGCTTGGTCCTCAGGAGCTGGGACCACCTGAGGTGGCCAGACCTCTGACTGAGCTGTCAAGGGCCACTTCTGCCCCAGGCCCCACGCACCTGACCACTGAGTGTGTGCACACGATGAATTCAGGCTTGGAGTTCCACTGGTGGTAGGTGATGTAGTAGTGGGTCTGCAGCCAAATCCACTGCTGGCCTTTGGTCAGAAACCGGTAGCAGCACGACTTCCCTTTGCCAAACTGCATCACTGTTGGTAGAAAATGGAGTCTGCATATAATGAATGTTAATGTGAAAATAATCTTTTTGAAAATAAGCTTTCCAAAAGACAGTATCAAACACTGTTTAATTCCCCAGTTAGTGCTATGTTTAAGTGACTGGTGACTATCAGGATAATGGTAAATGATAATGAATCCTTAAACAATGGAGGAGTGATCCATATGCTTTCCCAAATGTCCACAAGCTTAAAAATCCTCAAATAATGGCAGATACAGACAGTCTCATACTTTGGGTTTAGAAAGGGGCCCAGATTTTCCTGGTGTACATCTTCCTGCTGTAGGCAGTGCTGCCTTTGGAGTTGCACGATAGTGGGGCCACACAATGGGAGAACAGGGCCCAGAGCATACCTACTGGCCAGTGTCCTCTGGACAAAGTTGGCCGCCGTCAGTCAGTAGTTCAACCTCAGTCTACATGGTTCTGATATAGTCGCTACAGAAGCCTTCTACCTCAAGCCCACTGCTACAGGGCTGTGTGGCCCCATGAGGCTGTTGGGGGCTTCTCTGGAGGTTCCCTGGGGCAGAATAAAGACTGTTGAGTTATTAGCCTTGGAGGGCAGAGAGCTGGACTGTGGGTCCCAGGAAGAAGAACCATTTGGGTTTTATTACCCCAGTGCCTGGACTTTAGCGTCTCTTTGCGGTTAAGAAAAATTCTAACTAGGAACCTAAAGCTACAAAAGGAGCTCCTGACTTGGAGAATGTGGTATCTGAAGAGGAGGGAGGCCCAGCCCAGTAAGGGAATAGGCAGGATGGGGTGAGCAGGGCTTGCCTGAGCCCCAGATGCTGAAGGGGATTCTACAGCCATGGTTTTTCATGTATCCTTTCTCCATGAGAGAGTTGGAAGCAGCTGGAGGTGTGAAAGAGTCATGCTTCTCAACTTTTCAGGTGCCCACCAATCACTTGGGAATCTTGTTGAAATAGAGATTCTGATTCCATCAGCTGGTGGGGGGAATCTGAGAGTTAGAAAGTCTAGTAAATTCCTTGTGATGCCAGTGGCTGCTCAAGGACCACCTTTGAGGAGCAAGGGGTTAAAGTTTTAAAGATTAGCCTTAAATTCTAACAGTGGGTCTTTATGAAACTCAAGCTGTTCTTTTTTGAACAATGACAGTAGAGGAGAGAAAGTTATTATAATGGGCACTACAGACAAGGCATCTATCAAAATACAGAGTTGGGCCCTGGCCAGGTGGCTCAGTTGGTTGCAGCATTGTCCCATATACCAAAATGTTGCAGGTTTGATTCCCAGTCAGGGAACATACCTAGGTTGCCAGTTTGATTCCTGGTTGGGCATGTATGGGAGGCAACTGATCAATGTTTCACTGTTTGTCTTTCTCCTCCTTCTTCTCTAATATCAATAAAAATATCTTTGGATGAGGATTTAAAAAAATGCAGTGTTGGTGGTTAATCCATGGATCAGGATCAATGGGTCAATGTTACCGCAAATCTCCCTGTGCAAAACAAGGACTTGGCACCAAAAACATGACTTTAAATGGTTAATTCTTAAGTTCTCTTGTTAAGTGAGAACACAGACATGGTTGTAGTTCTCTCTTACCCCATACCAGGAGTCCTGCCTCCCATACCTTTGCCAAGTGTTTTTTTCTGTGCTGAAAGCTTTCCTGATGCTACTGTCTCAGCTGGATGAGAGACCCTCCTCTGAGCCCCCCAATATGCTGTGTACCTTCCCTTTGCTGTACTAACAACATCCTATAAAGTCACCTATTTCTGCATTTTCATCAGCCTTTGTTCCTACAGGGCAGCAAGAAGAGTCTGATCATCTGACCTGTAATTCAGGTCTGTTACTTGTCTGCTGGTTAAAGAACAGTTATGTGAATTCAGTATTTTTTCCTTGAAATACTATATTACATGACTTTAAAATATGAGCAGTGCCCCTTCCATTTCTTTAAGATTAAACAGCTTGTGTATCTGAGGGATATTGGGAAGATGCTGGGGTGTGGCTGGGTAGAGCAGTCAATTCTAGGTGAAAACACACACAGAGTCATCCACACAAGGACCTCCATCATACTCCTAGGCCATTTCAGAGAAGACGGAATCTTCCACTTCAGAAAGAACCCGAGTAAAAGGCAGACTTCCAGGCTGAGTCCTGCTGTCAGGGCTCTGTAGACAAAGCTGGAAGTCCTGGGTGCCAGGCTAGGAAAGCAGTACTCACGGTGCTGGTGGCACCTGGTGAGGAGCTCCAGATCATCAATGTGGTAGTAGTCATAACCTGAGGTTCCCAAAACTTCAAAAGGCAGGTATCCTATTATTGGAGGGGCTCTGCCGAGAACAATGGGATAATTCGTCAGAGAGGACTCACTATGGTGGCTGCACCTCAATGCTGAGGGTACAGTTTGCACATTTAACAATACGTGGAGGCCTTGTTTCTCAAGAACAGAGGCAGAAAAATAATCTTGCATTGGTTAAAACCCAAAGGGCTGTGTTTTCCAAAGTACTCCATTTATTTATTTATTTATTTATTTATTTATTTATTTATTTGGCATGTAGGTACTCAGTTCCCTTGGCATAGCCTGGCCCAATTAATAACAAACTTTATCACAACTGAATAATTAAAAACAGCTATAGGTTGGATCTGCCTAACTCCAAAGTGTAAAAAAAATTAGAGGGTGAGGAGGGGAGATTGCTAGTTCTCAAACTATGAAAAATGCCGAAAAGAAAGATTAGGCCAAAGAGACAAAAAGCGTTGAAAGAAATAAGATGAGAAGTTTATCTCACTTCTGCTTCTGCCTTCCTGGGAGCTTAAGAAAGTTCCCATTGGTGGGAGTGGGCAGTGGGGTTGTATCCCAAAGATGTCCCCAGTCTGCAGTGTCTGAATCTTCTGAAATGGTCTGACCCAAACACAGAATGCGTCCATAGACATGGCTAAATGCAATAGAAGGCAAACTGCCTAACCCTTGGCTGGGAACCACTTTTCTTTCTGCCAGGCCCAACTTTTTTCTCCCCAGCCCAGATATGCTTTTCTTTTCACACACCTGTGATCCAGAAATAAAAACTTCCATTCCAAGCTGTGCCTTGAAGTGAATTCCTCTAGAGGTTCGTCAACTACACACATTTCCTATATTAGGAGGAAAGAAAGTGTTGCCCGGGGTGACAGATGCTCACGCTAGGGCTATTCAGGATGCCTGGAGGGCAACAGAAGTTACAACTCTTCAGAGCAAGTCTTCAGATAGTGTTGGATTGAAGCTTGTCATCTGTAGCTAATTTGGGTATTAACTGATACAAAATTTATTTCACAAGCTGGGAAAATAATTAGGAGCCAAAATGTCACACCACTCCCCATTATCTCAAAGTGTGCTAAACATGTGGAAAATGGCTTTTCATCTGCATCTGAATTACTAATTTAACTCAACATTCCTGCCATAGACACTAAAGAAATCACACATGAGAGATTTCAGACAAACCCTCAATTTGACACTTGGTTCTCACCTCTGCCTGCCCTGAGTGGTATTAATGTTGGTATGAAATGTAGGAAGGTGTACAGAGCTCCAAATCTAAAGCAGCATCTCCACAGGTTCAAGGGCCTTCAAACTAAATATCTCCTAAGAACTGCATTTAGGGGAGACAGCATGTGGGGCTATGATAGGTAAGGAAACCAGACATTTCCAATTTTTAGTGACAACATCCTTGTAATTTTATTTTTTCCCATAAAGACAATTAAATATAACTACATGGGACTCAACTGTAATAGTTCCATCTGATAAATTCTCTCCCAGGTACTTACCTTTAGGAATTGTGGTGTTGCTAGGCGAACAGTAGCGATGAAGCAGATCTCCTTTCCTAGAGGCACCTGGCAAGGCCTTGGAAAAATGCTGTCAAAGCCGTTACGGGAGGGGCTAGGCACTAGGGAAGGAGGGACACAGGTTAGCCCATCTGAGCCGCAGCCAGCCTGCCTGTATTCCTGTGAACCAGCACTGCACTCAGGGCTTTGTGAACATTAACTCATCTCTTTCTTATATCAACTTGGGGAGTAGGTGCTGTTGTTATCCCATTGCATAGGAATGGAGGCACAGATGGGTGAAGCAACTGCACAAGACCACACAGAATCAAAATTCGAGTCACCAGTACACTACTTGCCTCTCACTTGCACTATCCTGCAGCCACTTAGGTGATTGTGTTGGGAAAAATAGTCTGCGAAATGAGAAGACAGTCTCACTCTGCAGTTAGGTTCCAAATACTCACTCCAGGCAGTGTTTTAAGGGTAAGTTTCATAGTCTGCCAGTGTTTCTGATACTGATGGACCCAGGAAAATAACTTTGTCTTGGCACATGACCCCCTGCCCCTGGCGTGGCACAGCTGGCATTCAATGGCTTCTGCCCTGAAACACCTCCTTACGGCCCTATGTGAGGCAGGGGCTTGGCTAGGACTACTAAAGAGATAGCCTCAGGACTTAGAGTGATCTCCAAAGGTACAGTGCAGAGGCAACAAAATATGTTTACTGCTTTATTTATTCTTACAAGTCTGGGAAGGTATGACTCTCCTCATATTAACCAAGGTCACTCAGAGTAGAAATAATGGAGCAGGGACTGTACCCAGGTCTTACGACTCCAAATCCAGGGTTTTAACAGGGATGATTCTAGGTTCATCCCACCATGATGCTGAGACAAGGCTCCATGTGCCTCCTGAGGAGGTGCCCTTGGCACTAGCAGCAGTTTTCCCTAGTTGCTAGAGATCTTCCCTCAGGTTGACTGTGCGGGACTGCTCTCTTCACCTTCCATGACAGAGAACAATTCTGCCAGTTTAGCTGGAGTTTTCTGGGTGGGTGAAAGGACCCTGTTAAATATGAGAAAAGTCAGCTTACCATGTATACAAATTCTCATCAGTTCCTTGGGATCTTTCACATGGCTGCCCAGGCTGCACCCAGAGCAGTTAATTCAGAAACTCAGGGTGAAGCCCAGGCATTAGGATTTTAAAACCTTCCAGCTTTACCAACATGGCTCCAGGATTAAGGACTACTATCATAGATAATCTATATGACCTCTTTTAAAATATAGTTGATTATATACTGTACATTTCTGAACTTATAGATTAAAAGTTATGTTTTCCAATTAGAGAATATATAAATATCAGAAAACAAAATGCATTCTAAGATGATGTCTACAAGATTATTTGGATTTTAGTTTTCCAATAATTTCTTTATATGTTTTTAGGTTTCTAAGTGATTCAATAATGTCGTACTTTATCCACAGACATGAATAAATTCCTTGTACCAAACATATTCTCTGAACATATCCACATAATTAATAAATGTTTCCAAGCATGACTATAAAGTTGGTAAAATAAAAAACGCTGGTCCCAAGAGAGTTTGCATCTGTCAGTTGGCTTTGATCATTGCAGATTAATGTGTAGGGTGAGCCAAGGAACTTATCAAGGGAAAAGAAAACAATTCCGCATAAGGGAAGGGTTGCCAGATGTGGACATTTGCATGATGAAAAAAAGACAGACTTTGAAAAATTTCCCAGATGTGAAATATCCTTTCTACTGGAATCTAAGAGACATCACCAGCCAGATAAACACCTAGTAAAATGCTCCCTACTCTTTCAGAATATCAAGACCTTCCAAGCAAACTTCTAAGCATTTCTCGGGAATTTAAGAGAAAGTCGTTAATCTGACCTGAACCATGAGCCTTGTTTGAGGGATCCTTTCTGCTACTAAATTCATGTGCTCTTTTGGTAAGTGTCTTCCTTGGTGATTTACTGTGGGGAAGATGGGGACAGATGGAGTGTGCAATAGGCAACACCAACCCCTAATGACTTTAAGGGGCAGGGATGTGGATCATGGAAATTAAATGGATGTTCTGTAGAGCTTCCTGTTGGCCTGGCTGCCTTCCAACATAGTTTTATCAGCCTGAAGTTTTAAAGCTTACATAATTTCTAAAGCTTTAAAGATGAAAATGCATCTCTCAAGGGACATCCCATTGTTGCTTGTACCCTGCACTGGTATGCTAGATATTTTAGAGAGGAGCCCAGAACCAGCCAATGACTCTTCTAAACAAGCCTTTTCCTGCCAAACCTGACGCAGCTGAGGGCTTGATCAAAGGTGATAGTAAGTCAAGGATCAAAATTATAACGCAAGCCGAGAGGAAAACCTTGGGGAGAAAAAAGGTGAAGAAGCTACTTTAAACATTTTGTGAATTGTGTTTGAAATGACTTTCACTCTCAGCATGAGACTTTTTGCCTATCTGGAGAGTCACCACGTGGGCAAACTGCTCCCTGGGTCTTCAGAATAATATTTAATTATCTTATCTCCAGGTAGTTTAGAAACATTAATTAAAAATTTAATTAGCTGTTTCAATTTAAGCAATAGAAAAGTAGATCTAATTACAACTGGCTTCCTGAACCTCTCAGAAGGATAAATCACTCAATGCAGGTACAGCCCTCTTTTATCAGATCCCTGACCACTCTCAGCCTTCTTTCCTCTGTCCCTCAAACACACACATGCACAGCACTCATGACAGAGATAAAAGGGATTATTTCTTGCTACATCCTCCCCACCCTCCAAATCATCTTCCTTAAAATTGATCATACTCTTGCCCAAAGCTAAAGTGATAGCCTTTCCCATGGCAGGAACTGGGTCTAATTATCTTTCTCCAGCTCTGGGCAGGCATCTTGCAAACAGCAGGTGCCAAGTGTTTATGGAATGACTACGGGATGACTATCATCTCACATCCAAGCCACAGCTCAAGGCCCAGTTTGGGAAGATACCTTCTGATTCCTGTCAACAACTAATGCATAGACTATGAGATCCCAGGGTTATCTTCTCTCCACAGCCCAGTCTGGTGCTGCTGGTGGCAGGCTTACCATGGGAGGATTCCCCTTGTGCTCAGGTTAGCTCACTGCCCTACTGATGCAACAACACTGGTCAGAAGAATGCCTAGACAACATCTGCTGCAAATCAGCCATTTATCAATCAGTCCATGGAAAATGTGGGAGTGCCCATCATGAACACCATGCTTGGAGAGATGCAGGATAGGGCTCTGTCTTTGGTCTTCTTAATAAAAGGGTCCATGGGATCACCAAGGACCTCTCTTTGTTTCTGAATCTTTTAGAACAGTCTCCAAATTTAGAGATTCTGAAAGAAATTTTTCTGGGGCTTGCATTCTTGGGATTCCAAAAATAAGATAGTCCAAGGTTGTCCAGAGAATCAAAATGACTTACTTGCACCCAGCATTCACTGGCTTCTAGGTCTGTCTGCCAATAAAGGTGAGCTCCAAATAAATCATAACAAGAAAATACAGGTGACTGTGGGACAAGGAGAGTGCAGATGGTGTGAGAACTTGTTTCCAAAGGGGTATGGGAGAGAGAGTAAGGAGCAGGGATGGTGACAGTGAACCTTAGCTGACAGCAAGGAGTAGAAGGAAATGGAGAAAGACGTACGGATACTCTTCTGCTCAGTATTGGTTCAGTAATCAGGCCTAAATAATTAAGCATTCTGATCAGAGATGGCCTGCTTATGATAAATGACATGCAACAGAGGTAGGAAAATACACTAACAATATACAAGATGACAAATAGCTTTCTCAGCACTTCTTGGAATAAACAAAACACAAAGCAGGCAGGTATCTGGGGAGACATGAAACCATCATGAGGAGATTTGCTAAAGGAAGAATAACATTTCTAAATCTCATTTGTGGTAGGTGTCTGAAAGGTTTCATCAAGACTATTGGAATGTTGAAGGGAAATAATGCTCTGCACATTCATGAGAAATCTTCTCCTCCAAATTAAGCATGATTCCCAGACTCACATTTTTTCTCTTCCCAGTGTACATTCCCCAAGGTGTTCTGGACAACCAGGTTATTTGGGTTCTTGGGAGAGCAGCAGCACCATAATCCTGACCAGTGTTTGGCCTGGGGTCTTGCCTAACATGTGGGGCTAATAGGAGGTTTTCTTTCCTTTCTGCCACTTCTATTTGGCACAGGGAAGAATGATGTTGGAAAGAAGCTGAGAGCCACACCAGAAAGCTGGGGGGGTAGCAAATTGCTGGACTGAAAAATCATACTCTAATGAGAAAATATATGTTTTAAATATCTTCTTTCCCCTGGCATTCATTAATGAAAATGAGTAGTTTTGGGGACCAGAAGATGTAATGGCATTGACCAAATACCCACCAGATGGGTATCACAATTATTGGACAACCCATACCAAAGTTCCCCATACCAGGCTGAAACAAGCATGAAGGTGGTTGATAAATGTATGATCATTCCTTACTGTTCCATTTTAATACAAACTGGAGATGCTCAGTCAGGATGATAGTCTTGAATAATAATTTGTTCTTTATTCTGGTCTTAATTCTTCTGCAACCTAATTTGCAGCAATGAGCACTGCTGGGGAAGGATGCTACATTGTCAGGGTGGCAGGAACACTCTGATCCTGACCCTTGGGGCCTGTGACAGAGAGGCTAGATGAAGCTGGCCCTCCTGCACTAGAATCAAAGGTCTACTTTCAGTGAGGCCTGGCCTGCCTGCAATTTGTTCCTTAATCGAGACACTTCAATTACTTCAGCTTAGGAAAAAACCAAAACAAAACAAGACCTCCAAAGCCAGAAAAAGAGGCAGCCAACAACTCCATTGAACATACAGAGCCAAGAGCTGTGAGCTGCGTGGAAAGGCCTCTCCTTTGCAAGAACTTTAATCTGGTTGCGTGGTTAGAAGCCGGCAGGTGAGGCCAGGGAAGCTTTTATGCTCTGCTGTGTGGTTTCTGGAAAGCTCAGAGTGGAATGTTTGCTGAGGGTGGCTCATTTGGAATCACATCGGTGACTTCTGAATCACTCCTCCCTGGATTTCAGTCAGTGACACGCTTAAATCCAAGGCAGCGGGAGGGGCAGGAGCTCAAAGAGAGGGTGGC